AGCCGTTCATAATGTGGGGCAGAGAACTCAGTGTGGGGGGCTGTCTGGACTCGCTAGCTTTCAGTTCGCTCCAGGTGACAAAGGGCTGGATGAGCCACTGGCATCTGCACGGACTGCAGAAGAGCCTGAGATTCCCCACTGGGCTGTCTGGTACCACAGATTGTTGTTAGTAGAACTGGGATCCAATGCAGTAAGTAATCATTAGGTTTGGGAGGAAAAAACAGATGGTTGAGAGATTCAGGAGGATGGCTTTGGTTGATGTTATACGTATGAATGAAAGTAGGCACATAGCTTCCATTTGCCAACACACTGTAAAAGTCTCTGTGTGTGATGTTATCAGACTAAAAGGTCGATACCACTGGGGTCCTCACCTTTGTCTTGGGCCTGCTCAGGGTCTTAGGCTCACCTCGGAGACACCTTGTGTGCAGCACGACCTCGTTGCATGGAAAATCCTTTCTCCCTTCACCTTTCCACCACAGATATACCGTCTATACAGCAAATGCTTCCAGGAAACCTCGAGGGCAATTTTCAGTTTCTTCCCCACAGCTCTCTCCTAGGATGTTAAACACAGTTCTCCTTATCCACTGAAACAGGAGAGAGGAACTCAAACAAGTAATCACAGGTGAAGATCAGTCTCCGTGACTCTGAGACCAGAACTAGACAGTAACTGACTACCCGTCAAGGATCAATTAAAGGGTCTTGGGTAGATTGGGAGAAAAGGTGGAAAAAACCTCAAAATTATTTTATAATAGTAATAAGACTAAGGAGCTCTGGTAGTATAGTGGTTTTGAGTCGGGCTGCTAATGTCAAGCTGTTCTGTGGGAGAAAAGATGAGGCTTTCTGCTCCCATAAAAATTTACTGCCTCAGAAACCCTGTACAGGGACACTATGAGTTGGAACCGACTCCATGGTACACACCCAACCAGCCAACCAATAATAAGACTGGGTTTACTGGTCAGAAAGAGACTGTGGTCCTTGCCATCCTTCAGATCTGGAAAGGAACTCATCCTTGTAGCCCAATTCACAGCCAAGAATTAGATAGGTTTGTAACGGGTGGGGGGTCAATTCAACAGCAGTTGGTAACACCACTAGTATGATATTCTCACCATGGCATGGTCAATCAGTCAAGTGCAAAAGGGCAACATTTTCCTAAGGACAAAGTGAGGAGGGATGGGAAGGTGGGTGGAATGCAAAGGAACCACAGGGAGGAAGCAGGATAACTGTCTTGTAGGGACGGCACTGTAATCGTTGAGATGAAACAAAGTATATCTATCATTTGTTCAATGCAGACTTGATGATTTTGTCTGTAAACCTTCAAATCCACAATAAAATATTTTTTAAAAAACAAAGGTATTTCAAAATAATATGCTTCACTTCCTTAGAATATGCATAAAAATAAGGTTGATGCCAGCTATGTGATAAAATTGGCAGTGCTGTTGTATGCCGTTCAGTCAGTTCTGAGTTACAGGATTTCTAAGTGGACTGCTGGGCCTGAACCATTGACCTTGTGGTTAGCAATCCAATCTTGTTATCCTTGTTAAGTGCCTTTGAGTCAGTTCCAACTCACAGTGACCCTGTATAGGATTTACAAGGAGCAGCTGGTGGGTTTGAACCTCCAACCTTACAATTAGCGGTCCAGTGCTTATCCTACAGTCCCACCCAGGATTCTAGCACTATCTATTTGACTTTTTTTTAACTATGTATAAACTGACAGGAAAAATTGCTGTTGTTGTCAAGTGCCACTGAGTCGGTTCCAACTCACAGCGATACTGCATAGCATTCCTGAGGAGAGGCTGCTTGAATTTGAACCGCCAACCTTGTGGTTCAAACCAACCTTAAGGTTGAGTACTTATCCTAGGGTACCACACCAGGATAGGAAAAAATATGAAGCGTCAAATTGGCACCCCTGCCAATCTGTAAACTTTTTTTTATTAGCACAACAGTGCTTAGCACTTGGTTGTTGTTAAGTGGCGTCAAGTTGGTTCTGATTCATAGCGACCCTGTATTTCCAAGGAGTGGCTGGTGAACTTGAACTGCCGACCTTGCAGTCCAGCGCATTAACCCACAGCACCACTACCAGCACCTGGTAGGCTAAAAGTAAGCTGTGAAAAAGAGCCGCAGTTTAGGAAGCTCTTGGTGCTGTGGCCCTCTAGTGGTGGATGGTGTGTAACACACTCCTCTGAGACTGATTTTTGCTGAAATGACCAGACGAGAGTCCTGTTTCCTGTTCTCTTAACCCTCAGTTCTTCTGTTGAAAACTTTCTATTATGAATTGAGTGAATGTTTAAAGACATGATCATCAGTTTCACATTCAACACATCATATTCGTTTCATCACAATGACTGCAATCCCCTCCAGGCACAACAGCTATCTCACTTCCTCCCTGGGGTTCCTGTTTCCATTCCACCCTCCTTCCCATCCCTTCTCAACTTTGTCCTTAGGTACATGTTGCCAGTATAGTTTCCAGCAGTTCCAGCAAGGGTCAGTAGGGTTGAACTGCCCAGCCTTATGTTTATCTTACAGCACCACACCAAAAGTCCACATCTGGACCGTTGTTACTAAGTGCCTTCTGCCTCACAGTGACGCTGCATAGGGTTTCCAAGGAGTGGCTGGGGGGTTGAACTGCCAACCTATGGCTAGCAGTCCAGTGCTCATCCTATAGCACCACACCAGGACTCCATATAAAAGTTATCTTTACACTATACTGTAGCCTATTAAAGGAGCCCTTGCTAACTGCAAGGTCGGTGGTTCAAATACATCATCCAATCCTCAGGAAACAATGAGGCTGTCTGCTCCTGTAAAGATACAGTCTCAGAACCCTCATGAGTCATAATTCACTTGATGCCTGTGGGTTTTGGGGTAGTCTATCAGGTATGCAATAACATCATGAAAAACTTTGAAGTACTGTCAGAATTACCAAAATGTGAGACAGGAAGTAGAAAGCACATGGAATTGTTGTTGTTGTTGTTAAGTGCCGTCGAGTCGGTTCTGACCCATAGCGACCCTGTATAGGGTTTCCGAGGAGTGGCTGGTGAGCTTGAACCACTGGCCTTGCAGTTCAAATGGCTTTGCAGTCTGGTGCATTAACCCACAGCACCACACCAGGACTCTAAGCACATGGAATAGACTTGCTCAAAGAGCACCAATAGACTTGCTCAAAGCAGAGTTTGCAGAAACCTTCAATTTGCAGATGCAATAAAACAAGGTATGCCTGCACTTAGGAATTCATGTTTCAAATAATAGTTCTTATGCTTATTGCAAAGAAAAGCAAGGATGCAAGAATAGCTAGGGGTTTCTGAAAAATACCTTGTAATATGGATAAACCTGGAGAATATTATGCTGAGTGAAATTAGTCAATGTCAAAAGGACAAAAATTGTGTTAGTTTGGGAGGAAGAGTAGGAGAATACCCACAATATGTAAGGGTTTGAAAGAGGATATTGTAGGTATTAAGGTCAGCGGTTTGAAACTACCAGCCGCCCCGCGGGAGAAAGATGAGGCTTTCTACTCCCGTAAAGATTTACACCCTCGGAAACCCTGTACAGGGTCGCTATGGGTCGGAACAGACTTGACGGCACTTAACAACAACAACAACAATTTACCTTTACTTCAAAAACAACTATGAATGTGATGATACATACAGCCAACAAAATGATGAAAACTTCTTAGATATTATCAAACACACAGTGAGTAGCTAATCCTGGGTGCTTAAGACCACAGTCTCAGGGAACAATGATCAATTGGCACAACACATAGAGACATCCTACTTTGGTGAGCCACATCCGGGATCTAAAAAGCTTATGAGTGGCCACCTAAGGAGCAACTACTTGCCTCTCCATGTGGAAAGAAATAAGAGGGATAAGAACTGTAGATGTTTGCACTCAATTAGTCCACTGGCCCAATGGAGCAAGTGAACATCAGTCACCAGGATTCTGACACCACAAAAACTAGATGGTGATAGACTAGTACTACAAACTGCTGGGAATCACGTAAGGTCCTGGATAGAGTGGCAGAAAATGTAGAACAAAATTCAAGGATTTAAAAAATGACTGGGTTTAGTAGTCCGAGAGAGAGGAGCCCCAGATTATGGGCCTGGTGTGGCTAGTGTGGCGCTATGGATTAACGTGCTGGACTGCAACGTCATTTTAACCACAAGGTAGGTGGTTCAAGCTCACTAGCTGCTCTTAGTCGGAAACCCCAGTCACTATGGTTCGGAACTGACTCAATGGCACTCAACAACAACGTGGTGTGGCAGGAGCTCTGATAGCGTACTGGTTACATCGGGCTGCTAACCTCAAGCTCGGCAGTTCGAAACTACCAGCTGTTCCGCGGGAGTGCTCCTACAGCCTCGGGAAACCCCGTACAGGGTCGCTATGAGTCGGAACCGACTCCACGGCACATCACCACCACTACCTGGCATGGTGCTGTAGGATCAGCACTGATCATTGGTTCAAACCCACCAGGGGCTCCTTGGAAACCCTATTCAGGGCCGCTGAGCAGGAACCGACTCGACCGCACTTATTAACACCCGTCAGGTCTGGACCGAAACTCACCCTCATGGCCCACGGCGTCCTAATTGATCGCCCTACATTTAATTTTCATAGCAACCGTATTTGGTGGGCACTGGGGATGACTTGCCTAAGGGAACAGCTCCTAATTTGTGGGCACCAGAATTTACAAATTCAACTCCAAACTGCACGCTCTTCGAGGCACTGAGTTTCCGGAAGCCCCGCCCCGGAAAACCGACCCGGCCAAAGCCGGAATGGGACGAGGGACGGGGTCGCCCGCGACGCTCTAGCCTTCCTCCTCTCTATGGTCTCAGCCCTTTGACATGTCCCGAGCTCCAAAGCTCCTTACTATTGGGTGCGCAGCCACGCGTAGGCGGGCCACGCCGTTCGTGGTGTATTGATTGGTCAGGCCCGCCATGCGGAGCGCAGCGACGGTGCTTGGGGCACACGGACCGTGGGACTAGTTCTTTTCGAGTTCCGAGGGAGGTGGGTGCATGTGGGCTCTCCGCTCGCTCTTGCGGGCCGCGACTGGACGCACCATGTCGCAGGGTTCCGCCCGCCGTCAGCGGCCGCCCAAGGACCCTCTGCGACACCTGCGCACACGGGAAAAGCGCGGCGCATCGAAGGAGCCCGGGAGCCCCAACACCGTGTACTTGCAGGTGGTAGCGGCCGGCGGCCGGGATGCGGGCGCCGCGCTCTACGTGTTCTCCGAGTACAACCGGTCAGTGCTCAGCGCTGAGACCTGCGGGCTGTACACACAGCCACTGCAGCACGTCTCTGGACTCCTCTTTCCCCTACCATACATTTGTGGCATTTCACTGTTGCAGTTGTCCTTGGCCTTTAGGTGGCTGACAAGGGGGTAATTTGGGGGCTCAATCTTGTATTTCTGAGCTTTGTATATCCATATAGTCTGGGAGCTCTAGGAGAATGTCGAATTTAGGTTTACCAAAGCAGCTCCCCAACCCTTGGATCCGGGACTCCCTCTTGGTGCATCCTGAAGGGCACTTTCTCAGGGGTCCTAACAACCCCTCCAACTGGTGCATGGGATTGACAGGGCTGGTGAGGAGGAAGTAATGGGGGAATGATCCTACCTGTGCCCCCAAACTCCCCTCCATAAACACACCTCTGCTGAGAAGGGTTCAAAACACAGCAGAAATCTGGGGCCCTTAGTTTAGAGATTACAGTGTAGTATCTAATTGAGCTCAAAGATTTTACAGAACAGAATCTTCTGAGTATTTTGGGTAACCTTTGCCTTGTAGGTATCTCTTCAACTGTGGAGAAGGCATCCAGAGACTCATGCAGGAACACAAGTGAGTCTGCTATGTTCTTTGGGGATGGGGTGGGGGTGGGGGGTGGAGGGGAGGTGGGAGTTGTGGGGTTTGAAAGTTGAGGGGAGAGCTCTCAGGGTTTTTAGGACAAAGAAGTTCGAGGTCTGTTCATTTTCTTGTGCTCAAATGTCATTTTTGTTAGGCTGAAGGTTGCACGCCTGGACAACATATTCCTAACCCGGATGCACTGGTCGAATGTTGGAGGGTTGTGTGGTAAGTATGATCTTTGCAGGGGTCAAGGCTGGAAGGAAGTCTCTGTGATTTTAACTGCTTTGCCCCTTTTCATTGAGCCGTGGTGGCACCGTGGGTTAATAGCTGAGCTGCAAGATTCCTCAGGAAAGAAAGATGAGGTTGTCTGTTTCCATAAAGATTTACAGTCTCAGCAACTCTAAAGAGCCATTCTGCTGCAGTTCTGTAAGGTCACTGAGTCACAATCAACTTGATGGCAGAAACTTCTGGTCTTTGCCCTTTTCCTGCCAATCCTCTGAGCTCAGAGGTGCTGGAATTCTTTCTCTGCCAGCCCAGTCTGCTGCAGCCGGGAGCATCAAAAGGTGTGACTCAAAAGAGCCAATTATAACATGAATATGCTGGTGGGGGGGGAGGGTTGTCCTGGTGTGGCACTGTAGGATAAGCACTGAACTACTAATACAAGGTTGGCAGTCCAAAGCCCCCAGACACTGCTTGGAAACCCTGTACAGGGTCGCTATGAGTCACAACTGACTGTACGTCAATTAATAACAAAAACCCTGGTATGGTACTATAGGATAAGCACTGGACTGGTAATTGTAACGTCAGCAGTTCAAAACAGCTGCTCTAGAAAATGCTGCTATGAGTCAGAACCAATGCACAGGACACAACTGATTCCCTCTTGCAGTGGATTTTAAGCTAGTTATCATCTACTTGATTCTTGGGTTGCTGGGTCCAAGGTAATACCACTGGCAACCACTCATAAACACGTCCTCTCCAGATGACCCTGCTAGTCATTTCCCTCTATTAGGAAGGCCAAGGGAGTCTTGGTGTGGCACTGTAGAATAAACACCAGACTGCTAATTGTATGGTTGGCGGATCAAACCCATTAGCTGCTCCTCAGAAACCCTATACGAGGTCCCTATGAGTCGGAACTGACTCGATGGTACTTAACAACAACAGAGAGGTCAGAACTGTTGCAGCCACATTTACAATGTGTTGGGAAGGAGTAGAGCTTTGAACCCGTTCAGGACTGCAGTTAGGGCTATGGTGTAAAATTTAAGGCTGATTCTTCATTTGTACAAAGCTAAGTGTGAGCACCTCAAGTTGTATGCCCTAGACATTGGAGCTCATGTTACTTCCATCTCTGCCCATTCCAGAGGCATTTAGAAATAGAGGATGGCTCTCACACTTTCCCTGATAAACTAGAAGTTGGAATGAAAACAAGGAGGCAAATTGCCGGGAAAGTGAGAGCTACTCCTCCTGGCTTTGACTGTAGAATATGTTCAGGAGACATCTGTATCTGAGGTGCTGATTTTATTCATCTTTTTTTAGGAATGATTCTCACTTTGAAGGAAACTGGACTTCCAAAGTGTGTGCTTTCTGGACCTCCACAACTGGTGAGTGTCTCCTGACTCATCTTCCAAACACAAGTCTCCACCCCGTTTAATGTTGTTGTTAAATGCCGAGTCAGTTCCAACCCATAGCAACACTGCATAGGGTTTCCAAGGAGCGGCTGGTGACCTTGATCGTAAACCAAGTTTGCAGTCCAGTGCATTAACCCACAGCACCACAGCAGAAAGGACTCCCGTGTAATAATTACTGTCTTTGTTGCAAAGTGGTGTCTTACAGCAATGACAGAGATAGTACAGCAGTTGAACATTCCACCTTGCAAATTGAGTAGACCTGTGTTCAAAGCATTATTAATTTTGTAACCTTGAATGAGTTACTTTGCTTCTCTGAGCCTCCATTTCTACATCTATGAAATGGCTATGATGTTGTGTAGACTTGTTAAGCCCTAAGTCACTTCATTGGCATCAAGTAGGCACTCAGTAAGTAATAGCTCTTGTTCTTATATATGATGACATTTTAGACAGCTTCATGCTTTCCACACCAGCCATGACTGAACTCATGTACAGAGAGCTTGTGTACACATTGTTGAAGTCAAAGCTGTTGAATTTAGCCATTCACACCCTAGTTCTTATAAAAAGAAAAAAAGAAATCAGTCACCAAGACCTGCTAATTCTGTCTCTAAAGTACATCAGATCTATCCTTTTGTCTCTGTCTCACCAAAGCCTTCATTATTTTTCACTCTGTCTACTACAGTAGCTTCCCAGATCCAGACTTGTCTCTAATTAAACAGCGGCCATGGAGACCTCTTTAAGACACAAATGTAGGCATAACACATCCCAACCTAAACCACTTCGAGAGCTTCTCACTATTGTTAAGTGCCCTCGAGTTGGTACTGACTCATTGTGACCCTGTGTAGGGCTTCCAAGGCTGAAAATCAGTCCAGGAACAGAAAGCCTCATGTTTCTCTTGCATTGTCGTTGTTTGCTGTTATTAAGTGCCATCAAGTCATTTCTGATTCATAGCGACTCCGTGTAGAGCTTCTGAGGAACAGCTATTGAATATGAACCACAAGCCTTGCGGTTAGCAGTCTGGTGCTTGTCCTACAGCACAACATCAGGACTCACATTCCAAATGCCTGCACATTGCCACAAGTCTTAAAGGCCTCTGTATTCTCTGGTAGCGTAGTAGTTACGAATCAGGTTGCTAACCTCAGGGTCAGCAGTTCGAAACTACCAGCTGTTCCGCGGGAGAAAGATGAAGCTTTCTGCTCCTGTAAAGATTTACAGCCTCAGAAGCCCTGTACGGGGTCACTATGAATTGAAATTGACTCCATGGCACATAACAACAACATTGTAGTCACCAAGCTGCAGCTGCATTGGCCACCTCTTAGCTCTTCTAACCTTCTGTACCTCAAGGAAAACCCTTCCCACCTCAGGGCTCCATCCGTGAGTTCTTTCCACAGTGTTCCTCATGGAGTCCCTGAGTGGAGCAATGGTTAAGTGCTGGACTATTAACCACAAGGTTGGCAGTTCAAATCTAGTCAAAAGTGCTTCAGAAGAAAGACCTGGTGATGCGGTTTTGAAAGGTTTTGAAAACCCTGGGGAGGTATTTATATTCAAACACCTGGGGGTCACCACAAGTTGGAACTACCTCAAGAGCAGCTGGTTTAGTTGGTTTGGTTTCGAGTGCTCCTTGCCTCCTTCTCCTCCCTGCCTATACCGTGATCTGAATTCAGGTTCAGCTAAAAGATCAGGATCCACCCCTGACTTGACAGATACACTAGGCACCCTACAGCTATTTGTTTATTTTCCGTTTTATGACAGAGCACTTACCATGGTGGCATTAAGTGGCTGTTTGTGCTATCATTAATTTAACTTTGGCCACCTCCAATGGATGCTAAGCTGCAGAGGGGGTAAATCTTTGGCATCTAACGTACAGGAGGCACTTTAAGTAAAATGAGGGTAATCCAAAAAATCCTGCTACACAATTATGGATGTGGTGGTGGTTATGTGCTCGATTCTGACTCATAGCGACCCTGCATAGGGTTTCTGAGGCTGTAAATGTTTATGGGAGCAGAAATCCTCATCTTTCTCCCACAGAACAGCTGGTAGTTTCGAACTGTTAACCTTGAGGATAGCAGCCCAATTCGTAACCACTATGCTACCAGAGCTCCTTACAAAATTATAGAAACCCATTTATTAAACAAAATTATAAAAATGTGAGGCTGTTGTTTCTAGATATACTCTCCATCTAGGCCTGTACACTTCTGAAGGTGAGAGTTCTAGCCCTCTAACCATTCCCTGGAGTCCTAGCGTGGCACTGTGGGTTAATGCGTCAGACTGCAAAGTTGTTTGAACTGCAAAGTTGGCAGTTCAAGCTCACCAGATGCTCCTTGGAAACCCTATACAGGTT